CGGGCGAGGATGAGAGCGCGGAGCCGTTCTTTGACCGTCCGGTTCACTCGTTCGACTACGCCGTTGGCTTGAGGTCGGTACGCTGTCGTCGGACAGTGCTTGACGTTGTACATGGTGTAGAGGCACCGCGAGACCTTGGCCATGTACGCTTGACCCCGGTCGGAAACCAGCACTCGTGGTGCTCCAAAAGGCTGGATGATAAAGTTGTGCAGCACTATCGCCGTCGTCGTCCGTCGACTTGTCGCGGACTGGCAGGCACCAGACGTAGCGCGTTAAAAGGTCCGTGACGACGAGGACGTACTTGTTGCCGTTGGCCGTAGGTACACTGAGCAGGTCCGCGTGGTCGACCGCAAGTGCATCCATCGGTGCGTATCCGACGCGCGGGCTACCACTGGGCGCGCGCGTGGTATGGCGTGGGTGCTTGGACTCTTGACACCGGATACACCGCTTCACGAACGCAGTGACATCGCCGAGCATGCCTGGCCAATACGACGTCAAGGCGAGCTTGTCGAGGGTCTCTTGGATGCCGCCATGAGATTCGTCGACGCCGGCGTGTGCACCGGCGACCATCTCCCGTCGTAGCGACGATGGGATTACCGCGACTAGACGGCGCGGCCCGACGCCTCGTCGGCAAGCCGGTCGAGTTGTCATCTTGCAGAACACGCCGTCGAGCATCGTGTAGTCGGCGACATCTTCTCGCTTGTACCGGATGGGCTGACCATCGTCGTTCTGCTCAAGGTACTCGATGAACCCAGCCATCCACCGGACGTCGAGCTGGCCCTGTCAGATACGCTGGTTGCGCAGCTCGTCGGCGACGCTGGCATCGTCAGTGGCTGCGATGGCCGCCGTCACAGCGTCTTGATCCGCTGCATCATACGGAGGTACGCAGCCCCATGGTGGTGGCGGTCAGCTCATGTCGATCCACGCTTGGACGGTGTCGACGCTCCCGGCCTTCCTGTCAGCGATTCCTTGCTGGCCCGCTTGCGGCTGGTCATCCATGACCCAATTGGCGACGCAATCGGCGGCGTCGTTGTACTCCCGAGGTACGTGGTAGAGCACCCACGCGTCGAAGCCGCTGAGGATCTGCGTGATCGTCGAGATACCCTTCCGGAGGCCCTCTTCCTTGGGGACAAAGATGCGGTGGACGAGGTTGCAGATGAGCTCGGAATCCGAAAACGCCACCACGGTACGGCTACCGCGGCCCCGCGCGGCCCGGAGCGCGGCTTCGAGACCAGCGGCTTCTTGCTGGTTGACTGTCGCTGTGTCAGGGCCCGAACCACCGCCGGCGCCGAGCAAGATGCGGCCGTGGTTGTCCCACATGCAGAACCCATGACCGCTCGTCTCCTCGCCGCGGTTGGCCCCGTCGCTCGATACGATAACCGTGTCCTCGCCCATATGGGACCACTGGAAAGTCGCGCGGGTGCGTGACGATCGTTGGTGCATCTTGCGGTGGTTGGCCCAGCAGCATCTCGAGCGGGTACTGCTCCCGTTTCTACCCGACGTCAATCTTGAGCGGAAGGGACCCGAGCTCAAACTGCCAATTGCCAAGTCGGCCGTAGTGGTGGGCATACTGCCCATCGGAGGTTTGGGTTCCATGTGTACACTTGGATCACTGCGCCACCAAGGTGATGTCGCCCATTGCCTCACACCGAGCAGCAGCGCCATCATCGTCTTCTCCACGGGTGTGTAGCGGAGCTCGCACTCGTTGAGCGTCGCACTGGCAAACCCGATTGGCCGCTCGCCGTCGGCCGACGCCTGCGAGAGCACACACCCGATCGTCGAGAAGTCGGCGCCGACCGTGAGGTTGAACGTGGCGTCGGGCGTCGGGACCTGGAGCGCGACCATGTCGTTCACAAGACGTAAAATGTGCGCGACGGCGTCTTCTTCTTCCGACCCGAGTACGAGGTCGCCAGGCGTCGTGGCCTTCGAAAAGAGTGGTGCCGCTGGGTTGCGAAGCCCGGCATGAACCGCCGGTAGTACCCGGCACGGCCCAGGAACTCTCCCAACTGGTCCGTGGTCTCGATTGTCGGCGCCGACACGATGCTGCGTACGAGGCTACCCTTGGTCTTGACGACGCCGTTGCCTCCCAAAACGTGGCCGAGGTACTCGACTCGCTTGGCGCTCCACACGCACTTCTCGCGTCGCAGTATCCATCCGGCCTCTTGCGCGCGGGCCATCGCGAGCGCCACGTGGTGCTTGTGCTCTTCCTCGCTTCTCCAGTGGATGATGATGTCGTCAATGTACACCTCGATGAACCGGCCGCCGTTGTCACCGAACGTGTCGAGCATGAATGCTTGCATCGCGCCCGCCGAGTTGACGCCGCCCTTGACCATCCCTGTCGGTTCAAACGCGCCGTCTTCCGTGACAAATACAAACTTGACGCCGACTGCGCCAGCGAACCGCGCTTGCCAAAAACGACGACGCGAGGTTGAGGAGCGCAAAGTACGTTGACTTGGCGACGCGCTCGAGCAGGTCCCAGACGCGCGGCAGCGGGTTGACGACGACAACTGTGTTTTTGTTGACTTGACGCAGGTCGTTCACCATACGCCACTGGCTTGGGTCGTCGGGTCGGCCATGTTGCGCTTGGGCCGGAGGAACGCCGGGATGCCCCACTTGCTGGCTTCGACTTGCTTGGCCATGCCGTCTCGCACCATCTGCCGCACGAGCTCGCGCAAAATGCACTGCTTCCTCGGGTCCATCGGGTAGTTGCTGAGGCGTATGGCTCCCGCGTACTTCCACGCGGTGTTCGCACTTCTTCGTCTGTCGTACTCGCTCGCCGCGGCGCGCAAAGACCGCGTCAAACTTTTGGAGGATCAACTGGACCCACGCTGGGAGCTCCTCGTCCGCCTTGAGTATGTTGACGTCGATGGCGTGGTCTTTGGCAGGGCGGATGGTCGCGATCTCTTGGTCGTCCGCCGTATTGAGCACGACACGATCTCGCAGCGTCGTCGTGGAAACCCCGTGGGTCAGAATAAAATCCATTCCCAAGATGCCGTCGTACCGGTCGGGGGACACCACAAATGAGTGGCACACCGTGGTCCCGCAAAATCGGACCGTCATCGTAGAACACCCAAGGTCATCGATGGTTGCGCCACCTGCTCCCCGCAGTCGCTGTCAGAACGGGTGCAGCGAGGGCCGTCCGAGCTCGTGCCACTGCCGTGCCGAAATGAGTGACACCATGGCACCCGTGCCAAATAGCATCTCGACCGGTACGTCGTTGCACGTAGTCGAGACGACCAGCTGGGCAAACCCGTCGCGTGCGAGGGCACGCCGCTCTACATGCACCGTCGCGACGGTCCGTAGCATGTCCGGCCCAGCCTTGACGAGACGTGCATGTCCGTCGGGGCCATTTTCCCAGCGCGGGTAGTGCGGCCGCCAGTGCTCTCTTCGCGGTCCGACTGCATCCCACGCGGGGTACACCTCTACGCATGGCCGTTGGTCGTGAGCTTCGGCTTCTCCTCTCACTGCGTCGCCGCCGCCTTCTGTTGTATTGTTGTCAGCACCCGTTGCCAAAACCTTCTGCTGCGCCGTCTCCTGCACCATCTAGCGCACCTTCTGCTGAGCTTCTTGCCGCACCTTCGTCGGTGGCTCCTGTCGCATCCTTCTTCTTCTCTCGCAGCCACGGCTGCGGCTTGCCTGGCGGCCTCGGCTACCGCTCTCTTCTTGGCTACTGCTCGTCGGGCCTTTCGTGCTGCCCGGATCGCCGCCCTCTCACCGTCGCCGCCCACGTCCTGCCGTGCCGTCATAATTTGTACTGGTATCGCGGGCTGCATCGGCGTCGGGGCCACAGTCGCTGTCTCTTCGTTTGTCATCATCCTTCTACCTTGTCTTCCTTGAGCTTCTCGTCCTTGTGCGACCACCGGGTAGCTCCTACCGGCGGTCTCGCCCAAAAACCGGCGCATCCGGGTAGCCGGTGACGGGAAACTGCGCAGGCGACGGGTGCAGGTATGTTGTCTGGGCGACTGGCGCGCGGAAGGCCCAACTGCCCTCGCCGGCGCTCTCGTCGTTTGAGCTCGCGGACGCCGTCGTCGTCGTGTCGGGTCCAGCGGCGTTTCTCAGGGCGTCTTGTCGTGGTCTTCTGGATCGCAGTAGCTCATCGACGGCCAAGGCGCTCTTCTTTAAGGGCTCCCACGCAGCAGTGATCGGTCCGTCCATGCGGGCGGCGACCATGCGAATGTCCCGATCCGTAAGTCCATCGCGTGCCTTCTCGATCATAAGCTCTTCGTCTTCGCTGTGGCCTGCCACCTGGGCGGCGTCGGCGACCCGTTGCAGATACTCGTCGACGCTCTCGTACCCACCGAGGGCGCTGCCACCTTGCTCGACGTTTTCAAACAGGCGGCCCGCGCGGACCGCCCGCCGATGAAGCGCTTGCAGAAGAGTGCCTCGAGGTCGTCGAGGTCGTCGTTCATAAGACGCGTGCGGCAGTTGTTCTCGTCGACAGCCCATTGTAGCCATGATTCATGTCGATATATTGTCCTAGAACAGTATTACAGTCGACTCTGCCTAAGTGCATAGTGGATATTTCATGGTATTTAAAGGGTAATCGACTGTGAGAGTAAAAATATAAAATCGTGCTTTACTAGTACATATTATTGTGAGAGGCTGGTGCAAGCCGCGGCTCCATGTGAGGCTCAGTCCTGGGCTGCGCGCCTCGCGTACGCGGACGTCGTCGTGCCTGCGCTTGTCCTCAGCGAGCTTGCGCCACATGGCTTCATCGCGGACGTAGCGCGAGATCGTGGACTGGTTGAGTGACGGGAAGCCGTTCTCCTTGAAGTGCTTTGCTGTGCGCGATTGGTTTTCGCCATGCGCATGGTAGTACTCGAGGATCTCGACCCTGGTGATGACCTTGGGCTGCGACTTCTTGAGCGCACCCGCAGGATTGGCGCGCGACTTGCGCGTTGGCTTCTTCGGCGGCTTCTTGGCCATCGAGAAGCGATTCAAAAATGGTCGGCTTTCCCACCATCACGAATTTTTATTCAAATTGGCGTATAAAAGTATTTGGGACACTATCACCGCGAGAGGATTATCGAGTTTGAGTGGTATGCACTTAGGCAGAGTCGACTGTATTGACAAATCTTGGCATCCGATACAAATACCAAGCCAACTTGGAGTCCTCGACAATCCATATTAGGCAGAAAACGGACTTGTCCCTCCCGAAACCCGCGAGATCCGAACTTCGAAGCAGAGACCACACTTTATTGTATTACAGCAAAATCAGTCTGAGGCATCTCTCGTCTAAATAAAAATACACAAAGCCGAAGATACGATCTCGAAGTTAACCGGTAGAACACGGTTATCCGGACGGCCAATATTGCGGCTGCAAAGCTCATCCTGCCAAACCCACGAGCCCGAGCATGGCCGCGCCGATGTCCTACTTGGAGGGCTTACCGCGGACGGCCGCGGTAGCGCCGCGGGTTCAATCCCCGCTATGGACCGCATCTAGTCGACGACAGGTACGTAGGTGACGGTAAGCTCTTATCTGCAGTGGTCTGCCCCGTATTTGCGCCCCCTGTCGCTTTGTCCAGGTTTCTCCATTGTAAATTTGGCCGCTTATAGCACGACTACGATGCAGAGCACGCTGCGCAACATGGAGGCGATTGGGCCGCCGGTAGCGACCCCCAAGAAGACAAACAAGCCGCGCTTGCAGACAATCTCGGCGCCGGCACCGCCACCGACGCCGTCACCCGCCAAGGCGCCGCGCACGGGCTTTGCTCTCGTGGCTCGACCC